CCCCACCACACCCTCCAAGGCCCTCCGACATCGGCCTGCAGCAGGCCGGCCTGCCCGAGGCCGTCGCCGCGGCCGTCGCCGCCTGCCACCCCGCGCTGGCGCCGCTGCTCTGGAGCAACGTGGTGCTCACGGGCGGCTGCTGCCGGCTGCCGGGGCTCGCGCCGCGGTTCGCGACCGAGCTGCGGTGCCTTGCGCCCGATGATTTCGAGGTCGGGGTGGTGGCGCCGCAGGTGCGTCCGCACGCGTTGGTGGGAGGCTTTGTGGTGGACTGTTTATATAGACAAGGGAGGTACAGGGTGCGTTCATGGGTGGCCGCGCTGGCGGCATCCCGGCATTTCCCCAGTGTGTGTTGATCGCGTGGTGGCTCTGTTGTGGGGGCCCAAGGAAAACACAACCTGGGGACGTGCACGCAATGCCACGAGCAGTTGCTTGGGCCCTTACTGCTGTACTACATTTGCGGTATCGTGCAGCACCTTTGTTTGTCCTTGACACCCTTGCAAGAGCGCGCACGCGCGCACGCGCGCACACACACACACACACACACATACACACGCACACACAGGCACATTGGAAAACACACGCACATCATGATACATACACCAACCTCACCCACGTGACGTCCCTGACAAAAACGACACAATGCGTCTCCCCCCCCCCCGGTCCGCTCCCCAGGACCCCGACACCTTCGCCTGGCAGGGCGCGTCGCGGTTCGCGGCTACTCCTCAGTACTGGGGCGTGGCCACCACCAAGCAGCAGCACCTGGCAAAGGTCCAGGGGGACGCTGCGCGGCGGTAGCGGCCGCTTGGGTTGCCACGCCACAATCCATTCACACGCTGCCGCCGCTCTGCGGCACGTGAGTCGATTCAAGGTTTTGAGTCGCTATCTGGCCGCGCGAGTTCCCATCCGGCCTGGCTGGTTGCGACGTGGCTGTGTTGTGGGTGCTGGGTTGCTGGGTGCCGGCACCCCTCACACGTTTCAGCGGAACCCTGCATCATCCGGCCACGGACCGCAGCGGCCGGCACGCAGCAGGGCTGTGCTGCAGCCCATCACCATCACGCTCTGACGTAGGCACAGTAAACCTGACGCAGCACTAGGCGCGGACTGAATCACAAGCGAGACGACTAGCGGCCGCGCATCCCCAGCGCGTAGGGGCGGGCAGCCATGCCAGCGCAGGCGCAGAAGCTGGCTTGGACGGCCCTAGCAGCTGCCGCTTGCACTTTGCAAGCCGGGGTGCAGCCTCTGATGATTATTTTGCACACTCCCACACGGCTGCAGCGTCCAGGATGGTCAGGGGCACATTACACGCTACCCCGCCCGGCGCGCCAGGCCCCGGAGCCGTATCCGCCCCGGAGGCGGCGGCGGCGGCGCCCCGGGCCCGCTGCCGCCCGGCCCCGGAGCTACGAGCGGCGCCGCCAGGGAGCCATCCACTAGCTGCGGCAGGCCGGGGATCTGGTATGACCCGCCCTGGTTGTCTGGCAGGGGCAGCCCCATCGCCGGCCAGTGGCTAAGGGGCAGCAGCCCTGGCAGCTGCGCGAGCGCGTCCAAGGGAACCTGCCCCGCTCCCAGCCCGGCGCTGGCCTGCAGAGGCAGGAGCTGGGGCGGCGGCTGGGCTGGCAGCAAACCGGCCGCATCCTGGTGCTGCCTCGGGCCAGGTTGCGGGTGGATGCCATTTGCAGCCACCGAACCTGCCTGTGGCAGCCCTTGCTGCTGCTGCTGCTGCTCTTGCTGCTGCGGAGGGGCCGCCCCTTGCTGCTGCTGCTGCAGCTGTAGCGGCAGGAAGCCAAACGCGCCGCCCTCAAACAGCTGAGGCCCGAGAGGAAGCATCGCCGGCATCCTCTCATCCATTGCCCCTGCTGCTGCCCCTGCCGCCGCCCCCGCTGCCGCCGCTGCTGCCACCGGCCAGCCGCCGCACGGTGCTGCTGCCGGCGGCCCTACCGCTCCACCTCCCTCCTGGCCCCCACCGCCGAGCCCCTCTCCCTCTGCGCCCTCGCCGCCGCGGCGGCCGGCGGCGGGGCCGGGCCGCTGGGCGGCGCGCCTGAGCTCGGCGGCGTTCCTGAGTGCCGCCGCGGGCTCCGCGCCGTCCGCCACTGCCTGCAGCATTGCGCTGAGCGCGGCGGCCTCTTGCGACACCTCGTCATCAGGGCCGTTGTAGGCTGGGTGGGTCATGGGGTGGAGGTGATGGTGGTGTGTGAGGGAGGGTCGTAGGGGGCAGCGGCGATGGGTGCGGAGGCAGGGGCAATAGGAGGGAGCGCAGAGGGGGGGACACCCTGGACAAGGGCATGAGAGTAGGTGGCGAGCTTGCTTGTGGGGGTAATGAAGAGGACCACGGGCATGTTGGTGGATGGGTTGAAGCTGAGGACGGCGGGTTGCAGGATCATGCTGGAGCGATGCTGCGCGGCCGCAGTGCAAGAAGCCGTCGTCAAAGGGCAGCAATGGAGGGTCTTGCAACGGCCCACTGGCTGGCTTAAACAGAGCCGCGTGGCCGGGGGCTGAGCCGCTGCTGCCACTGCTGCCGCTCACTGGCGGCGTTGATGGCTACGAGCTGGGCGTCGGCCTTGAAGGACTCGGGGCTGCGGTAGTAGCCGCGCGCCAGGCGCGCCTGCGTGGCAGAGGAGGGGCGTGCAAGACGGGTATGGGGCTGGCTGCCACAGATGCAACGGTGGCACGCTGGGTCTTGCAAGCACTGAAGAAATTGTTTGCGGACGGCCTGTGCGCACTCTGTGTATGTGTGTGTGCGCGCGCACACACACACACACACACACACACACACACACACACACACACACACACACATTCACACCCATACAGTCGACAGCACGCACACCAAGAGTTGACATGCACAAAAAGCACAGACGAACAAAATGCCAACACACACACACTCACACACACACAGCCACACATACACACACACACACACTCACTCACACACACACACACAGCCACACCTGCATGATGTCCAGGCCCAGGGGCAGCGCCACCTCCCTATTGTACGGCCGCGGCCGCCCCGCCTCGTCCGGCCACGCGTCCTCCGCCGCCGGCGTCCCGGAAAACACGCGCCACCGCGCCTGCCGCCGCGCGCCCTTCACCGCCGCCATGAGCCGCGGCGCGGCCGCGGGCGGCAGGCGCGAGGGCTCCTCCGCGAGAGCCCCCGCGGTGGTCGTGCCTGGCGGGTAGAGCTCCCAGGGGGACACGTCCTGCTCCAAATCAAGCTGCTGCTGCTGCTGCTGCTGCTGCTGCTGCGCCCCGTCATCGCCGCCGCCGCCGAGGATCCACCTTATTCGGTAGCGCTCCCACAGGCCGCCGCAGCCGTAGGGGTCGTCCAGCGGCTCCCGCGGCGGCAGGTGGCCGCGCGCGTCCGACACGACCAGCGCGTCCCACCACTGGCCGCCCTCCGCCTCGGCCTCGGCGTCGCTGGCGCCGCCGGCGGCAGCGGCGGCGCCGGGGGTGTGCTCCGACATGAATGACTGGCGAGCGGGAAGCGGTGCGAAGCCGCGGAATGTTGAAGAGTTCGGCATTTAGGAAATGAGCGTTGGGCAAGATGCCGGGGGGCGGGGTGAGCGGATGCAGCAGATTCTTTTTCAGGCTGTAGCAGGTGTTGCCCAGGCAGCGACCTGCAACGCCCTGTCAGCTTCCCTGGTTCTACAGCTCCTGATTCGCGGTGAACCCCCATCCGCCAGTCCACTTTGCCCTGATTGCGACGGCTCCCAGCTGGCCCTGAAGTATTGTATTGCCCCTGCTTCACAGTGACAAGCGGAGCGGCCGAACGCGAATCTGCGGGCGCACCTGCACGCGCTCCCCCACGGCCCATGCGCGGCTGACGGATGCGTCGTAGCGGCTGCGCAGGATGACGTATTCCGGGACACCTGCGCACGCGCACGCGTGCGTGTGTGTGTGTGTGTGTGTGTGTGTGTGTGTGTGTGTGTGCGCGCGCGCGTGCGCACGGATTGCTTTGAGTTGCACAAAATTGCGTGTGTGCATGTGTATGTATATGTGCATGTGTACGCAAACATTGATGTTCATGGGATGCAGACAAGTGTGCGTGGGGATGTGTAGGTTCGAGATGGTGTGCACGGCGCTCTCCGAAGCGTGCATCCTGCCGAGGCGTGGCATGCCACACCACCCCAGCAGCCCCAGCCCCCTCCGTCGTCCCCCGCCCCTCCCGCCCCCTCCCAGCCGCACCTGGCGGGGGCGCGTCTGCCAGGAATAGCCGGTCGGCCATGGGGCAGGCCGGGTCGGACAGCTGCAGCACCAGGGACGCGATCGTGGTGCCGTCGTCTGCGGCGAAGGAAACGGGTGCGACCAGGTGTTTCAGGCGGCTGCAACGGGGCGGCCGGTGCGGCCGGGTGGCAGCGGCCTGCACCTCCCTTGACGGCGGCGTCGCCTGTAATAACACTCGCGTTTGCCAGGCTGCGGCCCCTCGGGGCGGATGGTGGCAGCAAGCTGCGCCTAGTTGCATACGGCGCACGTGGCCATGGGCTAGCCTGAGGCGCTAACCTCCCGACCTGCACACTGCTCATCATTTCTTGCCAACCCCTGTCTAAAAACCCCTCCCGCCACACAAGGCCTGAGGCGCCGCGCGCACGCCCCCCTAACCCATCCATCGCTGATCACATTGGCCGGCCTCCCCCCTCACCTATCCCGTAGCTGATGGCCATCACGCGGCACGGCTCCGCCTCGCGCAGCGCGCCGCCCGCGGCCGCTGCCCTCTGGCGCAGCTCCAGCCAGGGGCGGGCGCTGGCCTTGTCGTTGGAAGCTTCCAGGTGGGCCTCGTGGCCGCGGGGCAGGTACACCACCTCGTCCCCGACCTGGCGGGGGCGAGGGTGAGAAGTTGGGGGGACACGCGTCGGTTGGGAGCGTCAAGTGCTGATGTGGCCGTGTGTCGGGCAGCGCGCAGCAGTTGCGACGGCCGAGAGCGTCGAAATTGCGCGTCATTGGAGGTGAACGCTACTGGATGGCTGACTATGATGGGGTGGGTGAGGTGGCTTTTTGCAGCCTCCACGGCCCGAGGCCGCCCCTGGCCTTGGCGAGGCGACGCGCTGCGCGTGTGCCGCCGCCGATGCGGTGCGCGAGCTTTGCGGAGCAGTGCCCACTCCCGCGCCCGCGCCCCCGCGCCGCCCGGCAGGCCTGCGGCAGCGGTTGTGAGCGGCGGCTCGCCTGCGGCACGTAGACACCGGGTTGCTGCTCCACAGCTTGCAAGTAAGAGTACGACTCCGCCGGCCGGCCCATGCCCCTCGCACCACCGCCCCGCC